TATATATATATATATATAGGAACATGGTATAGGAATAAACTACTCCAAAGTTTACGCAAACACAAGTATGATTGCGTTATATTAATCAAGTATAGTTATGTATTAATAAAACATTAAAGTTACTTATTTTAAATTTTCATCGTCAAAACCTTCGTTACCTGTTCACTAAAGCTATCAAGAGAAGGTGAAGAAAGAAGGGCAATACCAAGTTGTACCACAAGATGGTGCAATGAATCCATCTAACATTTATTCTACCTGGTAACTCATTTTTTTAATAGTGGCCACACAAAATAAAAGGAATAAAGGAGCAAACAAGAAGTGAAGTACAAATCCCCAAACACTCCAAGTTAAAATTCAATTGCATAAAACAACTTTAAGGTCTAAGCTGAAAATGGTTACGACCCAACAGCTCCGTTCCAGTAGACTCTGTTTCATGTTTTCCTCCAAGCCCCGACTGTCAACACGCAATCTGACCACTGCACACCACATCTGCGCCACCCAGGCTTCTGTCAACTGAACATAAGTATGCACCGGCTGTTGTATATACACGCTACGGAGAAAGCGACAAAGCATTGAATTACTCACGAAAGCTGTACTTTCTTTAAGGTTTGCAAATCACGTCTTTTACCGTGTTTCGACGGTGTTTTAGGGCGCAGTCTGTCAGAACGACTAGCGCTTCCAGTTACTAACCTCACGGCTTTTCATTCGTTGTCCTCCCAGCCGCGTGACAGCTCATTGGCTAACAAAGTGCAAACACGGTCTACGTTACACGGAAGTAGAGTGCACAAATAATATACGTCATGTGTCAAAATTTTCTAACAAAATTCTGATACTTTTTGTAATAAAACTATAATTTATCACCCATTTTCCAAACTAATGAGTCACAGCCTTGTCAAAAATGCAAACTTGTTAGCGTACACGAGCTCGTGCGACGTTAGAGATGATATAACCCGTCGTGTCCTTTAGCTGCGGTGCGCTGTTTGGTCTAAGATGCCGCGAGGAAGCTGATATGTGGCAGTTAGCTCGTGCTAGCGTTTAGCTCTAGTAATTTCTCGGGCTGCTTGGCGTGTATTGATTCAGTCAGGTAATGACAGTGGTGAGTGTCGTCTTGTTTCGTGTACCTGTATATCGAAATTATGTCAAATTACCTTTTAATTTTTCATAGGTAGTTAATAGACGTAATGTTTTATGAATCGACGCGTTCAGGCGTGTTTACCGTTTCCAGTCTCAGTTTCACGCTCATTTATATAACAAGCGAGCTAATATTTATTACACATCATTGCCTGCCTTAGAAAATTTCTGTTGGCTTATATTTATTGCCCGTTGTCCTCTGGCTTACTATCATACTGCGCTATAATAACGGAAGCAGCGGACATACAGCGCTGCAGAACTTCAATAACATCCTGTAATTATTGTGGTAATGTCTGCTGGCAAAGAAATGTACGATTTAGAAGATGATCGGGTCTTTCAGGCTTTACTGGCTGTCTATTGTAAATTCAGGCGACACCATTTACCTCGGGACTCTTTATTAATTGGACAAATGCACTTTCTATATCTATTACTTCCCTGTGTAAAAGAATAACGTGAACACATAGTTAAATTGTTGTGATTTTTGAATGGATTTAGAATTTAGGTTGTTTTACCTTAAAGAATTCCTGTAATGGGGCTAAACCTGCATTTTCCTTTCTTTTCACTGACAGACAGGTGGCGATTACTGAAAGCCTGAACCAGCCAACCAGAAAGTCCAGCCAGTGTTTACCTGTTTCTCAGGTAGGGTGTGAACAGGGGGCAGGGCCACCCACGAGGTAGGAGGGATGCCTGTGGAGGGCGGAAGCAGCAGCGGCTCTGCTTCAGCTGCCCGTCACCCCAAGCAGAAGCGCAAGGCTCACAGTTTGTCTATCAGGCGCACCAACAGCACAGAGGAGAGGCCGGGAGGCATCCAAAGAGGAGACATGCTGGATGGACAGGTGAGGGGGAAATACACCAATACATGGATCCATGGGTTTTCTCATTTACACACAAGCAAATCGACAACAGCAGACAAGCAGTCTATGTTAACTTGCAGTTTTGAAGACAGCGTAATAACCTATGTTAGGTGTAACAGAGTTTCACTTTCAAACACAGAGCAGGCTGTTCTCGCATAATTAGCATTTTTATTGTTAGGCTGTTTTGGTGTGAGGCTGGTTCTTTCATTCGCAAGAGTACAGTATGAGCCGGTTAAGCAGCATTTCTTTTATTTTGTACTTGCAACATCAACAACGCCACGCTTTCATGTGTTTATGAGTTTCTTCCTCTTTGTGAAACAGTAGCTGCAGTTTCTTAGTTTTGGGCAGATATTTCTTAGTCAAAAAGTTAATGCTGTCTCTGTCCTCTGTGGGTTTAGACCTTGGTTACTCATTTCTTTGTTTTAAAACAAAGTACTCGCCTGTGTCTCTGGTATCAAGTTGGTTATTAACGTTCTTCAAACACGGTTCTCTAAATTAGTTATACAATTGATTTATTTCTTCCAGAAAAGGGAAGACTGAGAACCTGTTCACGAGCAGCCATTTCCTGGTGCTGACCAGTTGCTTGTTCCCTTCTGAGATAATAAAAACTGTTTCTGTTTGATCAAGAATATCCTGGTTGTTAACTTTTGGGAGTTGGCTTTACAGCGACCTTATTGAAAGTCATCTCCCAGATAAGACCAACAGATGGTTTGTGAGTGTTTCACATTGTACTGACAGGTTTCTCCTATCGGGTGAGATGATAGACAACGTGTAGGGTTAAAATGAAAAACACGTTGGATGACCTACTTATCAGTCGCTCTCAAAAATGGGATGGTTGAATTTGTCAGTGTGTGAGACCATGGAAATCCTTTGCCTTTTACTTTCTGGGCTTTGTCAGCCACTAAAACTAGAGCTCAGCTTGCACTCGCCTGTTGTCTCATCAAGTTTTAATATGGGTCGCTTGTTCAGGTCTGATTAGTCTTTTCAACAGTCCTTTTTTGTTTATTGCCAAGACCGGCTGGCGCTGTGTATGCACCTCCTCTATTCCCCGCAGCACTAGCTACACATACACAGACAGTTTTATGGACCCATATTTTACACAGAACAGATATTCTTCCTCACTTTTAACGCTGCCGGCTTTGGCCTGAGTAAGCTGCAGGTTTAAGTGCCACTACTAAAGCAGCTTTAAATTCATAAGGCCTGCTTGTTACTTCTCAAATGACCTTTATTTATTTGTTTGGGCTTCTTTTGATAAAGTGTGTGAACGTGGTGATGACAGAATGGTCATGCGGCTAATGTCATTGTGCCAACCGGTTGGTTTTTTTTTTAACACGTGCCTCAGCTGAAGGGTGACAAGTGAAGTGTTTGGTATCGTTGTCTTTTGGACGGCTGAAGGACTGAGCAGCAGCGCTCGGGGAGCTGTGAGACGCAGCCTTCTGAATCTAGTGTTTTCATGGCAGCTTTTATGTGTCTTCACATGCTAGTCTGGTGGAGATTGGTGGTCAGCTGGTAACTGGGTACATCTAGGACTGCACCATGGAGGTAAGTTAGTAGAGGCTGGTTGGACACTCCTGTTGTGTAGTTATTTGTTTTTAGCTTGTAGCTCTGTAGCTCAAACTGTGGCCAAGAGTTTGCACAAGTTCATCTGCTGCCTGATTAAATCGCGTAAACACGTGTGTTCAGTTAAACGTTTTACCTTTAAGAGTCACAAACTTCACTTCCGACTGTAATAACAGAACATTGTTGTTTTACAGTTCTGCATTTTTGGCACAGCATTATGCTACATTATGTTACGCCACACTAGAGTAGGATGTGGAGCCAATTCCTGCTCTACATTCCTGACCTTGTATGACCTTACTGTGTGTTTGGTTCTGTTTTCTGTCTGTCCAGGACTCCAAGCTGCCTCTCGCTTTGCGGAGCAATCTTCTTGACCTGTTTGGTCAGATTGAACGGGAGTTTGAGAATCTCTACATAGAAAACCTTGAATGTGAGTAACTGACAGTGTACGCATCAGTGCTCATTTACTGAGTGGACGTTTTCAGTGTTTAAATACTGACACGTCATCGCTGTCTTACGTTGCAGTACGTCGGGAAATTGAATCACTGAATGAGCGGCTGACTGGAGATGGACAGGCTGTTGAGGGAGGAGACCCCACCAAGGGAGCCTTGAAAACAAAAGGTCCGTAATTTCCAACACAAATCTATTTAAGTCTGTAATTTACACTGAGTACAGTTAATAGAAGTCTTTGGAAATTGAAATGGAAAATACTGATTGTGTTTAAAGTGGATATCTCATCCCATGGTGGCTGAAGTAATCTCCCTGGGAGTTGATAAACATAAAGATTTAAATTGGCATGTTACTTATGTGTCTTCTTTGTGACAGACTGTCGTAAAACAGCTGTACACATATGAGCAGTTGTTTTTATTTTTACCTTTAGGAAGCCAAACTGTGTTTGTTCTTTGAGTTACTGTGGTTTAGTCACGATGCTATAGATAAATGGTGACTTGTAGGGCGTTTGTAAATGATTAAACTGCTGATTAAAACTCCAAGAAGTTGTTGATCACAGTCCACACAGTGTTATCGCCACAGGCTAAAGACAGAGGAGTCGCCAGCATCACAAAGGCGGCGAATTTCGCCGGCTGAGTGGCACCGTAACACCCACAAAGGCGTGTGGGACTTTTCAGTAAACTGATTTCTCCTGCATTGATCTGAAAGATATTACAAACAGTGGTATTCCCACTCTGTCTCTAGCCAGCTTTTCGTGTTCTGAATCACATGCATGTCATGGAATTTCTCAAAAAGTATCACAAAAAACATTTTGGACCCAAACTACCAGGAGTCCAGGAACATAAATTGAAGGGAAATGTGCCTCCAAATCACTCAAACATACGATAGCATTCGAAAAGAAGAGAAGTACAAAGATACAAGCAACTAAATGTTTACAAAATTATAGATAATACCAAAATAACTTTCAAATATTCAAGATAAAATAGCGAAGGACTCAAAGTCACGGATATTTTCTACCTTTAAAAAATGCTGTAACGAATGAGAATTAAAGTGAAGGTTAATGAAAGCATATTAGTACAACAAGTTTAATTTGAGAGGTTTTATCGGCTCTCTCAGACAGGCAGAGTCTACCTGCACAGCCTAAAAAGACAATTTACCATTTTATTTTTTTAAACTTCTTTTTATGGCAGACATTTGTACCAGCTGTGTTTGTTTATGTTGTGTCTATATGCTGACCAGGCTGCTATATGACATGGCTACACATTTGCATGAGCCACCTGTTTTTTCTTTGTATGATGGTACAGGGTGAGTGAACATTTTCTAGGAGCTAATGTTTACTTGGATTTTACTATTTGGGCATCCAGCAGCCTCCATAAGGTGAAAATACTCTCCAGTAACCCTCCGCCTGGCTGTGTATCCCTGTTTTTAGTAAATGTGTTTTCGATGCCAACAGTTACCTCGATTTTCACTGCAGCATCCATAGTTTTCATTTGACTTCAGAGCTCGAGGCACATGCCCACCTGGAGGGCAAAAACAGTATGGCGGCCCTTTGAAAGTCTATAAGTTTAACTAATGCCGGGCTCACACTGTGCGATTTTGTCAGTCGCGCGATTCAGCTCCTGCTCAAACTGTACGATTGACTCGCAGGGGTTAGAAGTTCGTAGGTCACGATGCAGGGTCTCACACTATACGGCCCGATGCTCTGATGCGACCTGGAGTGCTCACACTGTGTGTCCATAAAATGAAGGTTATAACAGAAATTCTGTCGCTCGCTCTCCCTCTCTGTCTTTCACTCACAGAGACACACACCACCATCAACTTTGCTAAATTGCTAATGAAAAACATTGATCAAGCAGCTGTGATTGAGCAGCAATGTCTATCCAACTATTTTCACGGTTGTTGTGGTCGTGATAATTTTGTGAGGCCACATCGAAAAGGCTCGGATGAGCTTTCCAAAGTTCTACAAGTGCCTCCATCGCTTGTGTCCAGATCACACGCTGCACTGCCGTGCTGCGCCGTCTTTTTCGCTGACATTTGTGTTTGCACGTGAGCAGTGTGAGAAGCTGCGGTGACACCCTCGCGACCAACCAATAGATGATCGGGAGCTGGTCGTGAGGTGTTAATCACTTCTCGTTACCCCACGTATACTACATGATGCACGACGCACGATGAAGGCCAAAATTGGGCCGATTGCCAAAACGGTCGCACGACTCAAAAATCGTCTCAAAATGGCCCAAAAATCGCACAGTGTGAGCCCGGCATTATCGAAAATACCAGAAGGTATTAGTGCATCTGTGCTATCAGATGCACTAATAAGCATTAATTTAAAGCTTCACCTTGTAAATTCACCTCTCCTAACCCTGCCTTACAGGCCAAACGTACCAGTCCCTGTTTCTCCTCAGCAGCTCCGGCTGTCAGTGGTGTCTCAGTTAAACTGTTGGAACAATTTACCTGACATTAGATGTATGACAAATGTGACAAATTCATGTTATTGGAACTTTTCTGACCCTACACTGTAAATTTCCACAAGACATGAGATTGGAATACATATGAAAATACATGTAGCTGTAAGCTTCCAACCTGGCAGCAGTGCAAGGTGAAAAACCCCCCAAACACTTTAGTCCTGCAGTACTACTGAGTGTCCACTATCGGCTGTCATGACGGAGTAATGTTTTGGCCACCAGGTTAGCAAGTTGGTCACATGACTGAAATCTGTGAATCACTACAAGATGCCATATAAAAATTGTACAAACAATGATGACACGTTCTGTAAACTGGTCGATGTTCATCACTGCTTGGGGTGAGACACTCACATAGGTCAGACTTATGTAAATCCTCTGTTATGACACCTAATATCCTTAAAGCCAGCCTGGATTTGTAAAATAAGCTCAGTTTAACTGGTGATCACACTTTGTGAAGCTGAGCTCTCGACAGTATTTTCACAGCTCCGTCCTTGCTGGACACAGGGACATTTACACTGCATAAATGTTCAGTGCAGATAGTATTAACAACTCATAACTAGAAACGCTCAACAAGGCTTTGTATTGTCGAGGTGTGCGCTATTTTAAAATCTTGACACTTTACGAGGCCGTTACTGCAGCAGTGAATAAAAGCAAGCAAGAGTTCTGTCACTGGGTAATGAATTTCATTCATTGTTCTTTGTGTCTCTGTCACACAGCCAGCCACAGCACCAGTCAACTGTCACAGAAGCTGAAGACGACCTACAAAGCCTCTACCAGCAAGGTACCTGGCACAAGCCACGTTAGCCCGTTCAATAGAGCTCGTAAGACGTGTCATGTGTGTAAATATTTGAGCTTTTGGGATTCAGGCCTGTGTGAAGTAACTGACTGTGGAAAGCCCCTGTAATGCTGAGTGAGAGGAAGGAAGAATCTTCCTCCGAGGAGATCATAATCTGTTTAAAAAAAAAAGTGGGTAAACAAATAATTCACTGATATTATTGAAGATTTTAATCACAGGGGTAAAAGAAATCGTGTGTTTACTACAGCATTTACCACAAAATGTCATCTCCCATGACTTTGTCCTTTGTTATCTCTTGACTCTCTGACACAGTGCTTGTACACTTTCCAGGGCAAATTAGGTGGACCTCGCAACTTCAGTGTGGCAACATGGGAGTTGTGGGGCGGAGATTCATGGGTAACTTCCTGAATGCTCTGTTTGCCACTAAGCATCATGGGGGAGGCGGTGGTGGCTTGAATGTCTCTGTAACTGCAGTCTGAACTTGACTCCTTCTCTGCTCTGCACTCATACTCAAGTCATTTGGGCAAAGCTGCATTTGTTAGATGTACAAAGTGTTACTTTTTATTTTATTTGTTTATCCTTTTTTGTATCGCCTTTTATTACTTTGGCGATTCTTTGAGTCACTTTTCATCAGCTATTTCAAACACCGTGTCAGTTGGCTTCATTTACCTTCTTGCTAGATGAGAAGATCAAAATCAGTCCCAATTTTGGGGGGAGCTGACGTTAGTAGCTGGATAGCTTAGCTAAGCACAAAGACTAGGCCTAAAGACTTGTAATGAGGAAGCAACATTGTATTGCCCGAAAGGTAACATAATACATCTATCAACAATGATTTCTGTGGAACTTTTGTGCTAGTAATTTCAAGTTTCTGCTGGTTGTTTAAAAAAATTAGTCCGGCACACGAACCCTGCCTTCATAAAGTTTTGTTGTTTTTACTGTTAAGTTCTTGCACAGTTCAAACAATTGATATAAAAGATTTTGTGTGCCAGGAAGCACATTATACCTTGTTTTGACTGAGCCAGCTAGCTGTTTTTCCTGTTTTCAGATTTTATGTTATCCACAGTTAACTGGCAACTTGACCAGTGATTAGTGTTTTGTGTTATGTTTTTTTGTTGTTTTTTTGGGGGGGGTTGTTTATTTGTCTTTGTTTTGATCAGTGTTCCCCCAAATTGGCTTATGTTGGACAGGTCTGCTTTCAGCTTCTTTTTGTTGTCTTTTCTTTCCCACACAGATGTTGTTAGTAATAATTACTATTATTCTGCCTTTGAAATTAACAGATAGTTTTACAAAAACTATTTCAGAAAATTTGGATTTTGAAAAAAAATAACATCAGATTTTTTAATTAATCTGACAAATTTCTGCCTTTTGTCTTATAAAGTTAGATGAAGTGTTTCCTCTCTAATTGGTAAAAAACTGTATCTGTACTTGCCATCAGGTTACAGATGAAACATCAGCAGGACAGCTGATGCCCTCAAGCTAGCGTCCCTCGACCAGAGATATCGCTAGCTCCGGGACGTCGGGCTAGGGATTTTGCGAGCCCTGAGCAGTATAGTTTCTAGCATCTTTACATCTGGTTAAAACGTTCAGGGCTGATCTCCGTCTGATCAAAATCTGTTGTAATGAAAAAGTTACCATATTCTATCTTCACTTTACCTACTTTGCTCTGCTCCTCTCCACATTCATGCACACACAGTGAGAGCAGAGGAGAGGAAACTGGTGTGAGCTAAAAATTACACGAGTGCAGAGAAAATTAGTAAAATAGAAAAATACCTAAAATAAATATTTATTTTTTTTCATTGCTATATTTACAGTAATAGGAGAATCATTTTGCTCTTCTTTTGTGTTCTATGTAAAATGCTGTTCTGCTTTTTTAATGCAGAGAAACACGTTGAATACAGCCACAGTGAAAAGAGCATTGAGGGAATCAAGAAAAGGCTTCTTTAATTAACCCCATGACACAAGTAGCAGCTATGTACAATACACTAACCTCTCAGCTGGCTAAGAAACATGACCGAAAACTAATTTTGGAAAGATGGAGGGGACTTGAAACTAATGATCCTCACTAACTATAGCTTCAGTGTTGTACGGGGTTGACATTGACTGGGCTATTCACTCATCTTGTCTGCTATTTTGCTCTAACAACGGGAGGTGTATAGTAAGGTTGCATCAGAGTGCAAGGTGAATATAAACACTCTGGACAGGATAAGAGTTTATATTAACACAGTCTGGCACTTGTGAACCAAATACTTTGCTGCTGCTGCATCTAATGTCTAGCAATGTTGTTAGCTTGTTGCTGTGGTCAGCTGTCTGCAGCAGCATGTAAAGTACTGGCTGTGACAGCTCTGTGACAAGTGAAACTGCACTTTAGTTTGTTTATCTGGTAGCCTGCAGTGACGGGTCCATGTGCAATCAGACTGCTAGTTATTTTTAGAGGTTGCACCGGTCGTTTACAAGGACAATCACAATCTGTCCTCTCGATAAATTGATACTCTAGTGACATGCAGTGTGGCGCAATCTGAAATCACAAATATGGCAAAGATAAGTGTTGCAGTGTGCAAACACACTTGGGGTCTGTATCACAAAGCCAGTTTAAATTATTCTGATAAGCTGACATTTAACTATGAAAACTTGTAACTTTAAATAGAGGAACACAGTATAGAGATATTCAAATAACTTCCCGATAATATAACTAATGTGTTTAAACAAACAGAATTACCACAAAGTGACGTCTTTTTAATGTGTTTGTCATTTTCAACATGAGCGGTTATAAACTGATAAACATTAAAAACAGTTAAAAGTTAAGGAAGGCTCGACCTGCCAATGCAGAGGGTGACCAGCACAGATAGTCTGTGCTGGAAAAATAAAATGGGTACGCGATAATGCTGTAATGTTGCTTTTGTAATTAACTGAATTCATAAACAGCATGCACAATTAATATTCCATTGTAATTGGTTATTGAACTTCAGTTTGTAGTAAAACCTTTTTTATCTCTGACATAATTATCACCAAAAGTAAAAACTACTTATTATTCTTATTGCTCATCTCTTTAATGAAAACCTTTGCCGTCATTATGATCATGTGGGAGAAATGTCAGGCTGGCTTTGTTCCCATGTCCTTAAGTTAAATTGCTTTGGAGCCATTTAGCTGTACAGTTAGGATTAATGACACCTCAAAGAGACTTAACCTATTTCCTAAGAAGACGCCTTTCCAGGTGACCTTGTTTTGTGATACACACCCTTGATCTAATCTGGCAAGCAATACATTGGCTTTTACTGTGTTTGGCAACGAGTAACAGTTAACTGGCAATACCTGTATGTAGCCAGGTGTTGGTTAGGAGTTATATCAGTATTTATGGAGCCTAAATGGAGCTGTGCAGTAAGACAGGAGAACTACAAGTTAAACTCTACATATTCTTGTATTTTGTAATCAGTGTAATACTTGTGTCTGCGAGCCTACTGTTTACTTTTTTTAGTAATTTAACTGAGTGCTGTTAAACCGTTTTACTTTTCTCTCCCTCGCACTCGCTTCAGATCGTGTCCAGTTTCAAAGCCACCACCGGCTCCCGGGCTTTGTGCCAGCTGCTCAAGGAGTATGTGGGCCATCGCGATGGGATCTGGGACCTCAGTGTCACCCGAACTCAGCCAGTGGTGCTGGGCACTGCCTCTGCAGGTAGAAAAAAAAAGTCCCTTCACAGACTATATAAATCAATCATGATAGCTTTGTTGTACACACAGGCAGCATGTGGCACCCTAGTTTTAAATAAGAATAAATAGCAAAGACTAAAGGTGCTGCAAGCAATATTTGCATCATTATATCTTTGTCAAATTAATTGTGATGCCTCGGTGCAATTAGCAGAAAATGAGAACATACTTAAGATGATTGATTACGTCTGTTGATGCAGTGCAAGTAGTGTTTTAGTATCAATATTTATCCAAACCAGTCCTTTAGAAACAACATGTTGGCCTCGTTTTATCTTTAAGGAAGCTCGTTAAACAATCCAGAAATTTCTTATTACATCCACTCAGACTATACAGCCTGTTACATAAATGCAGGATCATACAGCGTGAAACCATTAGCTGGTTACTGTAAAAATGGAAATGGCTGCATGTTGTTTATACCTGCTGTCCCTTAACAGACCACTCAGCGTTGCTGTGGAGTATAGAGACGGGCAAATGTCTGCTGAGGTATGCTGGCCATGCAGGATCAGGTAATCACAGCCAAAAGCTTTATTTGTCTACAGACATTCACAAAGTCCATACAAAAAAATTATTCTAAATCGTTTATATTTTTTCTAATAGACTGTTTTAATAGCCTGTCTGAGTGCTTATAATAACAATATTTAGTGTGACGTACAGCCTGTCGTGCGACATCTCTTGTTAATAAACACTGGCTCATGGCAGAAGCATTTCGAAGCTCATTCTTAGATGTAACACTGTCTGTCAACATTTGCTTACACGGCTTGTTAGATGACAACTCTTCATTGTTCCCTTTGCACAGTCAACTCCATCAAATTCCACCCCACAGAGCAGATGGCACTCACAGGTAAGCATTTGAATGCATGTTTGACTTGTCAAATCGACTACGTTAAATATAGCATCTGTTTCAACAGGTTTGTTCTCCTTGTCGTCGTTTCAACCGTTTTCTGCTGCATCTGTTGCCTCCAGCAGTCACTCGTGTGTAGATGTGAGCTGTGCTCTTTGTTGATTTGTACTTTCCACAGCCTCTGGGGACCAGACGGCTCACATCTGGCGGTACATGGTGCAGCTTCCAGCCCCACAGCCACCACCAGATGTCAGTGTGAGTAGCTTTGAACTTGTTCTCTTCCCAGTGTTTCTACAATAGGTCACTTTACTCTCAAATGAATCAAACCAAAACGAGACAGGAGCTCGACTGAGCTTTTGTTTTGCGTCGTTCACAGGCTCCGTGCGATGAAGACCAGGATTCTTCGGACAGAGAGGAAGGCGAGGTGGATGGCGAGGGCCCTTGTGAAGTGCCCACGGTCCGGGTTGCTACTGCAACACTCAAGAGCCACCAGGGCGTCGTAATAGCAGCTGATTGGTTAGTGGGAGGCCGACAAGTGGTGACAGCTTCCTGGGATCGTGCTGCCAACCTGTACGAGGTTGAGACTTCTGAACTGGTTCACAC